TTTTCAAGTTAAGTACGAGGCAAACGCTAACTCTGTTTAGCTGAAGGCGTTCGTGCAATGCGCTGCATTGACAGCAAACGCGACACACAAGCATGTGTGTGTGTGTGAGTGTGTGAGTGTGTGTGCGTGGCACATTGCAACCGCGGTCCAACTGCCAGCATGGTTTTGGTTTGTGCAACGCCGTCTGCCTGCCACTGACGTTTGCTCCAAATGCTGCAGCTGACAGCAGCGACTGACGCCGGCGGTGGCGGTCTCTCTCTATGCGTATGTGTGTGCGTGTGACGTGCCTCCTTGCAGGCCCCCCTCCTCTCTCCCTCTCTCTCGCGTTGTCTCGCTTGCTCTCATGTGCGTGTTGCATTGATTTTATGGGCTTTCATATTTTATCATTTTTTGTTTGCTGCACAATCATTTTGTTGCATGTCTGTCTGCGGCTGGCCACAAAGCCACAGATTTCATTTTGCCTCTCCCGTTGCCAGTATATAAAAACAGTAAATCATATAATCAACATTAGTTTACTTCTTATATTGTAAGCTGTAAGTTCTAAAAATTGACAGAAAAGCTAATAAAAGTGGAGCAGTCGGGAGTATCCTACTGTCAGATACGACTCGATGCCAACAGTCAATCAGTGACCAAGTAAGTTCGATACTATTTTCGATAGTTATATTACAGCAGTTGTTAATGTTATCGATAACATTTAGCTGTTGAGATATTCATTAAGATTTGCCATTTAATCATGACGTTTCTTATGCTTTGCAAATAAGTCAAAATATTTAAAAAAATTTTTGAAATTTCAGTTAAATTTTTAATGCAAGTTGTGAAGATGAAGCCCGAAGCCTGACTTAGATTTTTTTTAAGAATAGAAATTTATAAAGTTTATAGATGACTTAAAGAAAATGTATAGCTTTATCGCTGTCATAGGACTCCTTACCTTATATATATCGGACAAATTGGTAGACGAATATGCCGATAAAGTTCAATGAACTCAACTGTTACTTCAAATAAAAAATATATATGCTTTATGGTCTCCGCCACGCCGCCTGCTATCTTTTATATATAATAATAACAATATAATAATATTTAATAAAATATCTTTACCTGATTTCGTATTCCTACTAGCTTAAGAGTACAATTAAATAAACGGGATCCAATTAAAAAATACATTTATTGCAGTGAAGTAGAAATGGATTTCCCATTTGCCCGACTTCAATGTGACTGCAGGATCATTTTGAAAAGAATTATTTTAAAATTATCCGCAAGGCATTTACAATTTACTATTTAAACCTTATTTCTACCATTTAAGCAGTTTGAATATTTTATTTTGCAATTGCGTCCCACAAATTGCTATCGATTTGTATTTTTAATTAAATTGACAGCTTTGCACAACTTTTATGTGTGCATTTATTTTTTTATAAATGTAATATACGATTTTTTGCAGTCGTAATGTCGAGTACGTGGCCATGGGCGAATGGCATATGAAGTTGTCAACTGCATTTCGAATCGGGACAAAAAAATAATATCAATCTATATGGGTGTGTGTGAGTGTGTGTGATAATGTGACCTATTGCTATCTGGCTTTTATTTGCCACATGTTTGACTCGATTTGTAAGTAAAATACAAAAATGGAATTGAAGAACACAAAGTAATATAACAATGAAGAACAAATTTGTTTTTGATAGAAAGTCATGTCAAAAACAATAGCCCAACTATTGTCATACTTTACTTTTTTTCAAGTTTCTCTCTTTTTTTTTGCCAGAGAGTTACACAATCTGGGGGCATATAGCACTTGAAGAGTGCGCCCAACGTTGAGTTGACCCTCATCAAAAGCTAACTAAAAACTTTTCTTTTTATATTCCTGTGTGTCTCTATCGATGTGTGTATGTGTGTGTGTGACTGAGTTTTCTGCTGGCTAAAGTGGAAAATAAATGATTTCACAGGATGACCATTTGCGTGTTGTATATACGAATCAGCTTGTGTGTATGTGTGTGTGCGTGTGTGTGGGCGTCTGTTTGTGTGTGTAACTGGTCAAAAAGTTGAAAACCAAGCTACAGCTTTTTGCTCAATCTGAAGAACAGGAAAACAAATACAACATCTGTGGCCAAAACAAAAGTCAAAACTAAAACGAAATAAAAAAGCCAATAGAAATTTAAACAGTTTGACGCATTAAATACTCATTGAGCGGCCGGGTTTAGATGATATCCTATAAAATAAAAGTTCACACAGAGGGTGTATTGAACTGAAGCTTAAATTGGGGATTTTTAGTGAGCTTTAAGAATATTAAACAGGCACTGGAAGTAACATTATCAAAAAGACCCTACATTAATTTTAAAAAATTATTCTTGTGTGCTTCAAAATTATACAAAATTTTAAAATTAATCAAATATCTAGAATCAATTCACTTTGGCTTGATATGAGGTGGGGAAAAACGAAGCTCAAGCTGTCCGAAGATGACCTTCATCCACTTTCTCCGGTGCAAATACAAAGTAGACTGGTGCAGTCGGGCGCTACAGACTTCATAATAGATTAGTTAAGATTAGTTTATTCCGCTCTCTAGAGGATTTCGCTTCTTGTATGAGTATAAAAATAGTAATAATTATAATAATACTAAAACTGTTTATATTTTATGTTCCATTTCAGAAAAATGTCAATGTATTTCAATTAATTACGATTCAACCCCTTCTTACCGTTACAATCTAATCGCTGTTTGCATAAACTCAACATTGTTTGTTTCAGTGTACAGGGTATTTCCAAACTCAGCTGACATCAAGTGTTTGCATTGACCTCAGAGCTTTGCTTTTGCCAAAATACGCAACCAATCTGGCAGCTAACAACAGGCTTATCCTTAACAAGCAAGTGCCCATGCTTCGACGCAAATCCCAGCCTCTTTCAACCATTGAAATTCATATTTAATTAGGGAGCATCGTTCAGACCAACCCTTTGCATATTTCACATCGGATTGGCTTCTCAACTGCTGCGTCAACTTAATTACGATGCGATGCTTATCACGATCATAGGCAACCCCATCATAATCATCCGCATCATCATCATCGTCATCATCATTATCATCTTCTGTGCCTGCAGGCTGGCTACTGTCAGGGAAGTGCCACTTCATCAGTCAGCATCGATGCTGCCGGCGGCTGTTGTCCGCGCCTTCTGTTGCCACCTGTCCACGTCCATTGCCATCTCCAGCTTTATCTGCCCAATGGCCCCATAGCCAGGTGGCAGCTCTGCCAGTGTCTGCGCCTGTGTCTGTGCAAGGGCTGGCGGGGTGTGTGTGGAGCAAAAGGTAGTCTTTGTTTGCACATTTCCTGAGGCGCGCTCCACACAGATTTCGTTGGCCCCGCCGTGTGCCGTGTGGTTTTTGGTGGCTTTGCCTGAAGGCCAACTCAGCACGGCTTAGCGCTAAAATGTGTGCCTATCTCAGTATCTAGTTGCCTGCATACGTCTGCGTATCAGTGTGCCTGTGTGCGTGTATGTTTGTCTATGGCCTGATGGAATTTTAATTAAATACTCGGGTGTCTATGTTAATTTATATGCGCATATGCTTAGCAGCCCGCCAGCTACTGCAGACTATGGAACTGCCGAGTCTCTAGTACGAACCGAGTTCCCAATGTCATTGATATGAATGGGGGTTGCAGGGGAGAGTTGGAGTATGGGGAAAAGGTAAAGTGCCTGCGCATGTTTATGATTAAGAGCTTTATACGATATGTAGTAGTGGCGCGCGTGTCCTTGTTCTCAACTCGGTTTCATTGTTGAAAATTTAATTATCATTTTTAATGCTTAGTGAGCACTATTCCCAGCTACCAGCTACCAGCTCCCATCTCCCAGCTCCCAGCTCCCAACTCCCTCTTACATTGCGGTTATTGTGGGAAGGCCAAAAAGGTTCTTCGTGCTCAGTTCTTTGTATTTTTGGCAATGCCACTTGATATTATCACGTCCCCAGCGTCTAACCAGCTGGCTTCGTCTGCTTCTCTATCTGTCTGTTTTCTATGGCTTTTGTCTGCGTTCTGGTTGTCACCTGGTTTTCGAGATGAAATGCTAAGAACTTGATATGGGATATATATTCGTAATTTGTTGTGCGGGTTTTCTCTCTCCCTTCATCTCTGTGTGTTTGAGTTTGCTCAACGACTGGCTGAATGACCCAGCAACAGATTGACATTTTCTCATCAAATTGAGGGCATGGCAATACACTTAACTATTCCCCTTTTGAAATGGGCTGGTTTGGCTATTACCATGCTTAAGTTTGTAGCTGGCATAAATGTAATTAATAAATTATCTGATGGGATAGCTTAGCCTTGCTAAAAGGCGTACACAATCCGATAACTGTTATGAAAGCAGCTTTGCATAAAACCATTTACTTTGTTGAGTTGCCAGCTTTAACCTGTTGCGAATTATAAGTGTAATTTTAAAGTCATTTTTCTAGAGATTGAAAACATAATTGAAATTAATATTCTGAGATGTTGGTGGTTAGAAATATGAAATATGAAATATTAATCGATATGTTATTATCGAAAATCAGAATAGAGAAGCTTACTTTTATCAAACTATAACAAATATTTGAAAATATAGAATTATTTGCGCTGTCAATGCTTTAGAATGCTTAAATTATATTGTGGTTGCAAATTCGAAAGAAATCGATACTTATAGATATCATACTATTGCATATTTACTAACCAAACATAGGTATTATGTAGACTTTTTGGGTTTGTTTTATAACGTATTCACTGTATAAGCTGTCTATTGCAGAAATAATTTAAATTTGCTCGCTTTGTGCTACTTTTCTCGTTTATCGATTAATTTTCTTTGTGATGTATACAAAAATATGGACTTATACAAATATATACCTAGGCCTAGGCTTGGATCGTACTCACCGCCACTTGAATCCATTTCTATATTCAAACAATTACTCTAAAATATATGTTCTTTAATTGAAAACTTTACTTACAATCGATAACATTCACAATTAGTTATTTTGATAAGAATATCTATCTATATGTTTCCCTTACACCTTTGTTAATTCCTTTTTGATTGGCAATAGTGAAGTTTCATTGATTATATTGTTTGAGCCGCTGCTACGTGCTCGCATCGATGTTGACATTCATTTTGGCCAGATTCGCTCGACTCGTGGCATGCCCCGGCTGCAGTTGCAAGGCTCGTCGATAACAATCGACCGCCTGCTGCCGCTGGCCACGCATTTGCAGAATGGCGCCCAGATTGGCGTGAGCGTGTGCCGCCTGCGGCTGCAGTGCAGCTGCCTGGCGATACCACAGCTCCGCCTCGGCTAGCCGATTGAGCAGACGCAGTGCATCGGCCACGGCTGACTGCAGGGCATAGTTATGGGGCGCCAAAGCAGCAGCGCGCAGGCGATAAGCTAGCGCCTCCTGCGTGCGCTGCTGTTGCTCCAGGAAGTCAGCTGTATGATCAGGCAGTTAGTTAGCAGAGATCAAACGTTACTTCTACATGTTCTTCCACTTACCATAATGATGATGCGTGCTAGGCTCTAGGGGGGATAGCTCCACGGCGCGCTTGAACCAGAGTTCCGCTTCCGCATAGCGACTGCACTATAGGGAGAAGGAGAGTGGATAAGCGACGTGGCTAACCAACAAAGGTTCACACTTACATTTCTGGCCAGCACTTGGCCGTAAGACACATATGCAACGCCTTCGCTTGGCTGCAGCTGCAGTGCCAATTTCTGTTGCGCCTCCGCCTCCTGCCACTGCTGCAGCTCGACATGCAACGCCGCTAGCCGTTGATGCAGCGTGGCGCGCTGCTGCCGCCGCTCCAAGGGCAACGTGGCCAGCGCCTCGTTGAGCACTTCCACGGCCAGTTGGCTACGGCCCTGCGAGCGGTGCAGCGCACTTAATTGCAGGTACGCATTGTGCCGTGCCTCCTCATGGGCGCTGCGATCGCGCACGCCATGCCCCAATAGCCGTGCGCCCGCCAACAGCACGGCGGCTGCCTCCTCATGCCGACCCCCGTCCCAGGCCAGCAGCGTGGTGGCCAGATTTAAATAGGCCTGCGCTAACTGTGGACGCAGCTGTATGGCCCGGCGGTAGCAGGGCAAAGCGGCGCTATAGTTCTGTTGCTGCTGATGCACGATGCCCCTGAAAGTATGCAACAAAAATTACTTCAGCCAACTTTCAAGCCAAGAGGAGTTTGTTCCGAAAAAATGAATAATTATTGAGATTCTGTTGTAAAAGTAGAAAAATCTGTGTTGTGGGTTGATGAAACTTGGTCTTGGCAGTTCAGTTTGAAAGCGAATTTTTAAATAATATATTAATTAAATTTGAGGACTCACTGTACCAGCAGATCAGCTGAAATGGCAATCAAAAGCAAGTAAGCTTATTTTTTATTTATTTCTAATTATGTATTATGAGTAAATTTATTAAGATTAAAAAAAAGTTAACTAAATAACTAGATTTGAAGTTATAATTTTTCAGAGCAGTTCTGAAGAATCTTAATAGTTTAAAGTTTACCAAAAAGTGTAATAAAATATGGAATCAACTTGAAAATGTATGTCGAACTGGTTTAAAGTTAAGACATAGTTCCAGCTGTGCAATATCAGGCAGTAAAACATTTGACTTAGCTTTAACTTAATTCATATATATATATATACTTATATTTTTTTAAAGAAAAAACAAGCGAACGTACGCATGAGAACAGCCCAAAGTTATTTTATCAACAGCTGCTCATCTGCTTCTTGGCGAGCTTGTGTTATTTTATTTCGTTCTTTTTTCTATTTTTACATAAGGAAACCATAACGCAAAACTTGTTAGAAATGCTCAAGTGAAAAAAGCAGAGAGAAATAATGAAGAAGTAGCTAGTTATTCAAGCGTCGAGATTGGATCCCAGCTGAGGTCTAATAGTGTGCCGGGCTAAATTAACTTTTGCTGTGTTTTGCTGCGGTTTCTCTGAAGCTTCGCCGACTCTAATTGCAGCGCTCACTCAAATACTTCAAAATGTTGACCTTCAAGTATTTTTACTTAGTTTTCTGGCTAACCATTCAGACGCTGGCTTCATTTAATTAACAGAGCTGAGCTCAGGATGGAGTCTCCAGTGCAAGTTGGGTAAACAAATATGAAAGCGAGGCTATGGATATGCATAGACAATTTGTCTGGGTTTTTAATATAAACAAAAAGTTCGTATATGCATGAATAAGTGCTTTTAAATAAAGGATGCATTTTATTTGCAGCTCGAACGTAACAAAACAGCACAAAATAAACCCATGCACAGATTGCACAACAGCATCGCACTGCAATAACAACAACAACAACAACAACAATAATAACAACAACCGTAAGTTATTCAAACAAACGACGCGTTCTAAAATTTGTGTTGAGTTGCGACAAGAAGTCCATAAAATCAACAAGAGGGCAAATTCAGAAAATTTTCAATTTTGTTGTAAAAATATTATGCTTGAAATTATTAATAATTTATTTACTATATTCAAATTATTGTTTAGATTGGACAGAAAGAAAGAACAAGACTATTATGTAAATATCGATTAAGTAACTGATCTCATTTAACTGTCTGGTATTGGGATTAGATACTAAATTAGAGACAAGTCCTCTTAAATATTTTGAGTATTTTATATAGACATTTTACTGCGTTGTAAATAATAAAAATAGAGCTCTACGTATTAATTTCAATTATCCACCAGCCTAGCTCAAAGTTATTTAAAACCTTTTCAATTCTCTAATAAGATTCTCATAATATTCTAGCTAAACTATTCGAACTGCCCTCGCTTTACACTAGCTACAATTGTATTTTTTTCCATTTGCTTAAATTTTGTTTATCGTAGAGCAACAACCCATTGAGATTCCATGTAAAGTCTCCCGTTGCCCACAAATTTTAGATACGAGCCCCGCACTCCCCGCCGTTCAGTTGCGAAGCCCGGAATGCCAATGGGCAGACAAGTGGGAAGCAATGCGAAACGAGCCAAGTGAATGCATGCGAATTGCAGGCGAACAACGGATGGATTTGCTCAACTGAATATTGAGTGCGACTATTCTATTCTATACTATTCCACAATATAGAAAACCCAAAATGTTGTTTTATACCATTTGCTCTCCCTTTCACTCGCTCGCTCGCTGGCTCGCGTGCTATCTCTCTCACTCACTCTCCGTGGCAGGTAAGCAAACAACAGCCACTGGAATAGCAAGGGTTGGGGGAGGGAGGTGAAAAAAAAACGAGTGAAAAACAGAAATCGAATTATACAGCTCAGTGATTTTTCGGTTTTGGTGTTTGGTTGCCTGTTACTTGTAGTGCCTCCCCTCATCGAAGCTCCCTGTTAGAGTCGGTGGGCCGCCGTCTAGCTTTGATGTGGCATGCTACAGCTAAAAATCACAGCAGCATCCAGCACAATAAATCCATGACAGTTGACTGGCATTCGGGCGGGAAGGAGGGTGCTGCCAGGGGCTGAAGACCCGCAGACGCGACGTGCGCCTCATGGACACGTGGCAAAAGGCAACAGCAACAGCAGCAGCTAAAATTTTCCCAGCCGCAGGTTGCAAGTTGAAGCGGGGGAAGAGTACGGCAGGTTTCTGCTACTATTGATGTCTTTACGAGTAAATAATGTACAAACAGCTGCTTATCCACGTTGCAGGTGGGATTAGTGTAGGCCAGGGGTGTGGCGACAGGCAGGGGAGTTTGCTATTGACATTGATTTTCGATTAGACGCCGGAAATTTGACATTCCGAGGCGCTTGCTTTTTATTACTTGGCAGCTTTAAGCAGCAACGTTCATATAAAGTGTTTATGGAAATGTGACCCAACTTGACTTCGAGATTAGCAGCAGCAGCAGCAGCAACACCACCCAACAGCTTGCTGCATAATGCAAGTGGGCGGCGGGTGTTAAAAAATTCAATCAGGCAACTTTTCGATAAGCTGCAAAAGCCAACGGCCAACATTGAGTAAAAGGCGCAGACGAGCAAAATGCCAGAGAAAAGCGACTTAAACTTTCACCGTCGTTAAAATGAATTCTGTGCGTTGGCCATAGTTGGACTGGCCGACTGTTGGATAGTGCTATGACAGCCGGGTAAACAGAGCTGGCGGAGCAACAGCAATGGATCGGGTATCGCTTTGAGCCAAGTTAATAACTTGAAGCCTTAGCAGTTATGAAGTTCGCGTTTTGCCTGCATGTCGTTGACTTTATTTACATTTTTTTCCTCCGTCTGTCAACTGAATTCAATTGAATTTTCCGCACTGAATTATGGTTGCTTTTATGTGAGTATAATTTTTATATAAATCTAAGTAGATAGTTTTTAATGTTCTTTAAGTATAAGCTTTGAGTTATTTTGCTACTATTCTAGTGACAGTATTGTAACGCCAATATATTTTTAATTTCATATGGGCTACATTAAAGTAATTTGCCTGTTAAATAAGTATACGAATAGGTTTTGTTTTTGAGCTAAGTTTTATCTCTTTCAACTAGTTTGGTTTAAATTTGAATATGAATTCTGACTGAATCTATATAAATAATGATTTAAATACATTTTAAATTTAAACTATAAATACATTAAGTTAATTCCATAAGAAAATCAACTCAATAACATTTTCAATCTTCTTTCCTTAACCTTCTGCCAATTGATTAGTTTTTCTCTGCTTCTACTCTCAACTAGCTTTATTTTGTTTATCATTACTTCAAGTCGGTTTCTCTTCTATTCTTTTATTTTGTATTTTTAAAACAATTTTCTCAAGTTTTTTCGCTCAGTGTAATTACGCATCGTCGTTGAATCAAAGTTAAGTTTCTAGTTTCTTATTTTGCTCTCGCCTGTCTCTTTGCTCTGGCATGCAGCCTTTTGCGTTTGGCTCCTAAATGATGGCAATTTAGCAACAGGCGGGCAGTGGGGCATTATGTACTAGACTCGCATGATTACAGACCGTCGCGCAAGGTAGTTTCTTGGTCCCAGCAGTTGGGAGCAGCTGCTGTGGTTCCGAGACCGGGGCGCCCAACCGGGAGTCGTGTGCAATTATTTGTATTGGGCGCACAGCTGTCGCCAGCTCAGTTTGCATTTCTGCGCGAGAGCCCTTGGGCACGGGATGGAGTGGTGGGGAAAAGTTGGATAAAAGTTGGCAAGCGAGCGAAAAGGGATTTTCCTACAATTTGCCAAAGAAGCAAAGCGAAAGGATTTCTGGCCTTCCTTTACTGCTTCTTTTAGTCTCCTTTCATTTTACTTTTTTTTTGGAGCGTAAAGCCTATTATGTCAAACACAATAATCAACAATAAGAGGGGCGACAACAACAACAGCAACGACAACAAGAATCATGACAATGACAACGGGGCGTATGAGCATTGGTTGCCTGGCTGTGCCGGGGTAAAGGACTGAAAATGACGTGGCTGCATATTCAAAAGGACACTCGCACTCATATGCCAAGCAGCAGCTGGGCCAAAGGGGGTGGGGTGTGGGGTTGAGGGCTTGGTTAATGCGTTGGCATGTTGGCGCATGTTTGCCCTGCCACGGATCCCATTGGGAGCTGAAAGGCAGCTCAGCTTGGCGGGCGGTCGCTGCAGCTCGAGTCGAGAGTACATTTCGCACTGCTGACTGCTGCCATGTGCCCGTACTGAAATTCAAGGGAGGGCGGAGGTCAGTGAAGCGGTTGGGTAAGTGCAAGTGTCATTGGCCTCAAAAGCCAAAGCAGCGATAGCAGCAGCAGCAGCAGCAGTGGCAGCAGTGGCACTGGCAACCACTGAGTGTCCAGCGGCTGGCGACGCAATGCATCAGCAGTTTAACTTGTAGTTTCTCTCTCTGCATTATTGCATCAAGTGCAACACAGCATACAGTAAATGCCAATAGAGCTTGCAACGTGTCCAGCTATTTCCCACTATTGCTCTAAGCCGCATTCCAGATGCCAAGTGGCACGCAGCGGAAACAGTTTCAAGTTGATTGAAAATAAAGAATTTTCACGAGCTTGAAATAGTTTTTCTCCTTTTTTTTGATTTTACCAATATATGGGAAAATATAATCTTTAATTTATTCGTTATTGTTTCATTTTGTTTTTATTTAATTTAATTTAATTTTTCTAAATAATTTAAATTATTTTAAAGTTTTTGTAGTATATTTCAGGTTTCTTTTAAAAATCCATCTTTTAATATTTAGTTTTTTTTATTTTATCTTGACTATTTCAATTATATTTCTATGTAATAAACTTTATTTTAATTATTTTTTATTCAATAATTTATTTATTTTTTTTGTATGATTTTTCTTTTTTTGCTTTATTTATTTGAATTTTTTTTGTAATAAATATTTCTATTAATTTTTGATAAATTGTTTATTTTCTTTTAGCTTTCTTTAGCCAACGTCTGACTTCGTATTTACTGCCAAGATCTTGGTTCTAATTCTAACCGTTGGTCTTTTAAATAAGTCCTATTGCTTGGTATATTCAGACTAAGAAAATCATTTGCATCTCAGTCATCAAATCGAACATTTCACAAATATATCTTACATTACTCTGGCTTTAGTCACATAATCCATGTAAGCAATTCCGACTCTTGCCTCTTTTTCAAAGCCATGACATATTTTTGAATTCTTTTTTATCGTGATAGCAGCTATTCCCCGAGCTTTAATGTTTTAGCAGTTGTTAGGCAACTGAGATTAGATATCATAGGATGCATATTCCCCGCGGCTGCTGTGCATTCAGTATGACCTAATTAATGGCACACACTCGTTTCTGCAGGGGATTACAGCGCAATACTCGTTCAAAGCCTGTACTACCAACGCTTAGGGGTTGGGCGTGTGGTGGGGTGTGGAGTGGAGTGGGTGGGTGTGTGCAAAGCGGAAGCTGCGCAAAAAAGCAGCAAAATATAGAGGTACAAGTGCCCAGCAGGCAACTGTTTGCTGTTGATGGTTGTCGAGTGCATGCAAATTGCCATCCAAAAGATGCTGAACATGTGCCCGTGTCCGTCCTGCATCTATAGCGTTTCCTGTGCTGCTCCTCCGCCAGTCTCTCACTTACCCTTCGGCCCCGGTTGATTTGTATGCGCGCAGCGGTCTGGGGCAGCGTTTTTTTCTGTCCCAACTTCTCAGATGTTGTCCAAACGTTTTTGCCAAGTGGCAAACAGGACAGAAGCAGCTGCCATTTGGCATTAAAGGCGTGCCACCGACCGCAGCGCGACCAAGCCATTTTCTTTTTACCCCACAGCAGCTTCCTATTGCCCCTTAACTGCGCCAAGGTCGCGCCAGCCATTCACTTTGAGCTTTTGAATTTTCAAAAAGGCTGCGAGCAAAAACTGACATCCATTTTGAGCATTCAGGTTGCATGTTTTGGCAGCCGCAGAAAAACGCTCAACTGGCAAAATTGCAATGCAGGCGCGAATTTTGCTTCAATTTGCATCGAGCTGATGACTTGGACGTGCTAAGCTTCGTTTACTTACAGATTAAAGTGCGCATCTGCCATAGCTGGTCGGTGTGCCAGGGCCGATTGCAGCGCCTGCTTGGCCTCCTCATAGCGTCCCTGGCTGCTCAAGACGCTGCCCAGATTTCCCAGAGCTGTAAAGAATGTTGAAACTAGTTCAATTCAATGCAAACGAGACATGAACAGAGCTTGAAGTGGAATAAATTTAATGGAAAATTATATAAAATATGGGCCAATATATTTGCCTGCATTTACAGGCAATGTAGTGTGGAGTAGCTTTAAGAAGCTTTACTAACTAGTTTATAAGTCTTTTTTTTGGAAGTTAAATTGCCTTTTTATTAAGCTTTAAGCAACTGAGTATTATTTTTATAATATTTAAAATAATTCGCTTTCTCCCAAGTTTAGTTGAAGTAGTGATATTAAATTAATCTTAAAACTTCTTTAGAAACTTTATAGCTGCGTTGATCAAATAAACATCAAAAATAATATCATATGATGATAAAAGGTCTTTCACCTCAAAACCAATTCTTTAACTTCCATGATTAAATATAACTTTGTAAGTCTTCAAACTTATTCCATGACTTTCATTGGCTATTAAAAGTGTATTTAGACTAAAGCTTTGCTTACTTATTCTTACCTTTAGGTGGATTGATGGCAACAGCGCTACGGAACAGCTGCTCCTCGTTCTGCCAGTCGCGATTGCGTTGCATTGTGCGCAGGCAAAAGGTACCCAGCAGCAGGCCAAGACAGCAGAGCAGCAACTGCCTGTGAACAGAGCTGTGCAGACGCTGCCAGAGCCGGCCAAAGCCCAGGCCTAGAAGCAGGCAGTACCCAACACTGGGCAAATATAGTAAACGCTCGGCCAGCACGAAGCCCACGTGGAAGAACAAATTGCAGGCGGGTATAAATGGAAGCACTAAAAAGGCTATGCAAATAACTAACACAGACTCCGATGCGGATGTAGCTGTGGCTGAGCTGGAAGAGGAGGCGGCACAGGAAGACCAGCTACTGCTGATGGCTGCAGCTTTGTGCTGCTGCAGCGACGATCGTTGCTGCTGCTGTTTGAGCTGATGATGGCAAGCGCAGACGAGTCCGTGCCATGCCTGGCAGCTGTTGCCACCCAGACGCTGCAACAGCGGCAGCGAAATGCTCGCCACAGCTGCATAGTCCACGGAGCTGCTGGCAGTGCAGCGCCAGCGAATGCCCTTGCAGGTCACGGCCAACAAGATGCCATAAAATGCTATGCTTAGCACATTGCGCGCATCCCACAGCGTTCTGATGCGCGGTATGGCCTCCATGCCCCAATCGAAGCTCAGGTGTTGCGGCCAGAGTAGCAGCTGAAAGTTTGCCACAGGCAGGTACAGGTAGCTGAGTGTGCGTGTCCACCAGCTGGATTCGTGGGCCGTCGGATTGTCGGCGGCTGAGAATGCAGTCGAGGGGCGTGGCACAATGCTGAGGCGACAGTAGACGGCGCAGAGCAGAGCGACGCTCAGAATAGAGAGCGAGCGCAGACGATGCTGCAATTGGAAAGGTAAAGTTACATATTATTAAATTATTACATTACATATAAGTAAGCGAAGAGTTTTAAGAATAATTAGAAAGTTTCATTACCTGAACTTTTATAACATATATATAAATTTAAATTTAAAATTTCTGATGAATGCGTGCTTATGGTGACCAAACTGGAGTCAAACGCTAACAGCTAATTATACCAGCAGTTATCGATAACTGCAAAGGTTGCTGAAGTTATCTGTAAGTTATCGATAGTTGAAAATGTTTTTGGAATCGTCAGAATTGATCGAAACCCGAAATTTTTGATGCAAATTTTTAAAAGTTATCGATAACTGAAAACGTTGCTGAAATGTGCACTTATCGATAACTTACATTTAATATCAGCAACTTTTTCAGTTATCGATAACTAGAAGTATCGTTATCTAATATATAGTTATTTCAACAACTTTTGCAGTTATCGATAACATTTAGTATGGTAAAAATAAAATTTTTACTGCCGTTGTTTTAGTTATCGATTAATTTTTATATAGTTATTTGATATATTAGTACTTCAGCAACTTTTACAGTTATCGATCATTTATAGTTGATGCTTTTAGAGTCAAATTTAGGCATTTTAATTGCGATAATAATACATATTTAATATACTTCGAATTATTTATATTTGTATTTATTTATTTAAGACTTCTATTCCATTTGTTTCAGTTATTTCTTAATTTGACTAAGTAATCTATATATTTGTTGAGTATGACAACTGCTATTTCCCATGCTTCATGCTGGCAATTCATGCTTCATTTGATAGTTACCAAATAGTCATTAGTTTAATCAGTAAAGTGCGTTAGTTCACACGTCTGTTTAGTATTAAGGGGCTGTCACACTCACCTTGTCATCTCCGGCATGTTTCACGTGCAGACCGCACAGCACGTCGCATAGTCCGCATAGCAGCAGCATCGTAATGGCCGTCTCCTTGCAGAGCAGCGCCGCTAAAGCCAGCAGCAGTGTGAGGGCCAGCGAGTGCCAGTCCCTGTGCAGCATGTGCCGGCGATAGCTCAGGTAGGCGAACAGGCAGCAAACTGTGGCACTTAAATCCGCGCGACCCACAACACCGGCCACGGCCTCCGTGTGAATGGGATGGGCGGCAAAGAGTGAGCCAGCGGCCCAGACGCCCGCACGTGTGGGCAACAGGGTGCGTGCCACGTGCACCACCAAGACGGTGGCCAGGCCATGCAGCAGCACGTTGATCAGATGGAACGACCAGGCAGTGCCACCGCCCAACACGAAATTGAGACGAAAGCCCAGCACGCATAGCGGACGCCAGGAGCCATGGGAGCCGCTGTCCGTCAGCGGTGTGCCCCAGTAATCATTCTGCAGCAGCTGAGCCAGCGGCCCGGCTCCAGTTACATCCGCATTGCCCAAGATGGCGCGCCTGCAAAGAAAGATAGAGATGAAGAGGAGGTGGGAGTGAGGCAGTGTATGCAGCATGCTCGCATTACCTGAACCGACAACAACCTGTGGCACACCTGTCCTATTAATTAAAATGATTAATTGCCCAGTCAGCCCCAAAGCACGAAGCCCTGCGGCCAAACTTAACTCTCTCTCGCTCTTTCTGTCCCTATACTCCCACTCGACTCGAACTGGACTGGACTGGAGTCAGCTCGGATCGGCTTTCCGGCCACATGCAACTTGAGCTAGTCAAGCTAGCAAAGGCTGTGCCTCTGCTTATTTTTATTGTCCTTTTGTTTTTGTGCCCGGCATAAATATTGTTAAAGTGCCGAGCGACAGGACACCACTCGCTGCCTTCTTTTGCCTCCTTTTCGTGCCTTGATTAATTGCCGATTTGTTGGCGCACTTGGTGTCGTGCTCATTGTAATTTTTGTTGTTGTTGCTGTTGCTGTTGTTTTACTCTATATACACACACACACTCATCGGCACACTCCATTGTCACTGGCAAAGTCAACGGCTCTTTGGTAATTGCCTCACCGTTGTAGCTTTGCTTGTTGTTCTAATCGATTTCCAGTCTGCCCAGCCTGTCCCAGTGCCATCGTAGCCAACCAACCAAGGCCTCGGACCTTTGCTGTCGTTGTTCTCAATGTTGTTTTGTTGTTATTGTTGCACAGTTTGAAATTTATAGTAGGTTTGCAATAATACCTTAGCTATTTTATGCATAATTAGTTTTCAACGTTATCCAGCAAATGCTATTAATTAACTTTCCCTCACAGAGTCAACGCTTCACTGAACTTAAATGGCACAAGGCAAACAAATATATTCGTTAATAATGAAAAAGTGTAACAGGTATTTAAGAACAGGTAAACAATATGAAAAGTTGTATTTCACAGAAATTTCTTCAGAAGTTGAAGACCTATTTAAAGACTAATAACCTAACAAGGAATACCATTAACATAATCTGTTAAGCAACCTTTACATAAGACCTTTAACATTACACTTAACATAATATATATATATACTACGGAGCTATAGAGTTCACTTTATACTAAGTCAAATTTGTATGTCGAGCTCAAAGCAATGAAAACTAATCCAAAGTCTTCTGACTATAAATTTTATAATTTGAAAAATTGAGCTTTTCACTGCTTAAATAAAAATATATCTAATTTCAAATAAAATCAATAGATTTTTAGTTGAGTAACTAACAAAACTTTAACAAAGTTAAAAAAAAAAAAAATGTAAATTGCCTTTATCAAATGTGCGCAAAGTTTTGGTTTAAAGCTTTAATCTCTGCTATTCATTCATAGATAACTGACATGGACAGACACCCACGCTCGACCGAAAGTAATTTGTGTTTACTTTGGTCTTAACTGGCCCGCGGGCCGTAGTTTTAGGTTTCTGGCATTCAAGCTCAAAAGTTAACACAAGCATTTTGCTTTATTTTTTTGCCCATGCCCAGCTGGAGGCTATAGAAGGGATGAATCTGTTTTCAAACCATATACGAAACATAAATAAATAATGGATAGGTAAAAATAATAAAAGCACTTCATATGCAAAAGCCGAAATATTTTCGTAATTTCTAAAGCAATTCTGGAGAGCAGCAAAAACTGATGAAAATGCATTTTTCAATTTTAATACGAAATTTTTTTTATTTAGCAGCTGCCCGGAAATACAATTTATACACATATTGTGAATGGTTCTCAATTCTTTATTGTCTGTGTGTGGGGTGTGTGTTGCATGCAACACTTCATATGCATGAATGGTGGCATAAAAGCGGACTCTCAAGTGTGAGGCGGATGCCATGGCATATGCCACAAATTGGGTTTGCAAATTCGCTGGCGAAACGTGCATAAGTTATTGGTGGGGCAGCAGCAGCACCACCAGCAGTAGCAGCAGCAGTCATTGCTTTGGAACACTCTCATCTATACTTCAATTTCAATTGGCATTTTCTTCTGCGCAAAGCAACCACAAAAATGTTGTCGATAGAGAGGGAGAGAGAGCGAGTGAACGGGAGAGAGAAAAAGCAAACAAATTCTTATCGGAAGCACACAAAGCTCAAGAAAAACTGAACCTGGGGTTGGCGCTGGGGTGTGGAGTCTGTGTGTGTGTGGTTCGGCTGCAGTTTCAATTTTTGCATTTGTGCTGCTTTCACTATGGCAACGCACAACAAAAATTTAGCTACGCCTCATTTGCAAGGATCTCAAGCAGCAGGAGCCAAACGATGGCAAATATTGAAAAGCATTTCAGTCTGCATACCTTCGAACAGCAACAAGGGCATTGTGTGCCAAGCTCTCTGTGTGTTGCCTTTCGGCTTAATTTTTGCCCAGTCAAAGTGGGGGCGATGTAGTTGCTGACTGAGACTTGGCTGGGCGACGCCGAAACTTGTCGCCCAACGTCAGCGTCAACATTATCGTCTCATCAGCAGAATATCCGCAGTGCCTTTTTTGTGCTTTATCATCGTAACTAGTGAATGAATAGCAATACTCTCGCTGAGCAGGTGGCAGAAGCATGGGGCACAACAACGAAAACATCAACACCAACAGCAGGCAGTGTTGGTGGGGCACTTTGTCAGCAACAGCAGCAGCAGCAGCAGCAAAAATGCCAAGATTCAAGCAGCTTACAAGTGTGGCATGTAGTAGCTGCCGTTATCGTTCGCTTTTCACTCGCACTCGAGAGCCCACGCAGGCGACGAGCTCTGTAGCCAGGAGACAGGAGCTGCTTTGCTATGGCACGAGCCGTAGCCAGAGGCACTAGGCACTAAGGCTGATACAGTGGATAAGACAAATACTGTGACTTCTTTATGGAATATATAATTTAGTTATGAATACTTATATATATATATATATATATAGATTATTTAGATTATTTTAGTCAATATTTAATTATGCTTTTCATTTACTTTATTCAAAATATTTTGATGCATCAAATATGCCAATTGCTCCACTGTACTCTGGCAGAAGACTCACCTACACATGCACACACTCTCACAGGACTGTGGTTGGCTTTTGTCGAAGACAATATATCATAGCATCAGCAGCGAGGACACCCAATGCGAATGTACCACATATAGCCTGTGCCCGCATGCCCTCTACCTCTATCTACCTTTGTAGGCTCCCCTCACCTGACACGCTGGCGTTATGGCTACCCGCAAACACTTGTATGTTTTGTGGAGCTGCTGCTGCTGCTGCTTATGTAAAGTGAAAATTTTCGATTTTCTATAAAAAAGAGAGAAAGAAACGAGCACAAAATGCCGTTGCTACCAGTGCGCTTGGAGCCTAACGGGCGTATGGCCATCAAAAAATTACGTATACGTAACGTTGTGTTTCATACACTTTTGTTGTTGTTGTCGCTGTCCTTTTAATACGGCACATAAATTATTGTAAGACTGCAGATTGGCTCTTTGGCAACATTTTGTAGCTGCGGCGTTGTTGCCTATCTTTTTCTTCTTTTCTTTTTGAAGAGGCAAATATATCAAGTTGTGAGGTGTGAATCGTTTGACCGTAGGCAAAGCTTTTCAAAATCTGCCATGGCAAGCTCTTTAAAATCAAGTGACAACTTCTGTGGCGAAATGATAAACGATACCTGTTGGCCCGCATAATATTATAAGCAATGGCATAAGAATTAAGCCGACTTTGGACGTTTTTATTTTTGTTGAAAAAAAAAACATTTTTCTCGAACAATAATAAGTTTGCTTGCTTAAGGAAGTGAAATAAACAATAATTTAAGCCTAGTTAAAGGTTGGATATTGAATAAGCAATATGATAATTAAATTGATTTTTGATTTATATCAAAAAGACAACTCTAAGCAAAACAAATAAAATATCAGACATTAGCCGCAGCAGATTCTCATAAAGGTGAATAAAATAAGGTGAATAAATAAGAATAAAAAAGTCACATGAATTCATTAGGCAGAGATATTCCCTCTGTTAAGTCTCTTTATCATACTATCTATTATAAGCCTTCTTCACCGTCAGCTTCATGTAGAAAAACTATTTGTTTGCCTTGCCCTCATATATCAATACCTGCCTCAACTTATCTCATTAGTATTACATAAAGATCGTTACCTCAATTGGACCACAAAAACACTTAATGTTATGCATTTATTATCAGGCAATGTGGGTGGGTCGTAACTTCGAGCATAACTCGTTTTATTTTGTGATTTGTATCCGAAATATATCATGCGAAACTTTTTAAAAACTCATATCTCTGCAACTATTGTGGAACAGAATACATATTATACTCATACCTATGTGAATTTATCCTCTCTCTCTTCTGTCTGCGTGTGTATAAACAAAATGGTAAAACGACGAACGAAGCGAACCAAACGAAACGAAACATGAAACAATTCACAGCACACGTGAAAAATGTTTATGGATCGCCATGCCACACCCACAAACGCCCCCAAACTGCCAGCCCCACTCTATGCCAGTATAAGCATTGGCCATTGCTCTTTTTCCAGTTGATAGGAAACAAATTGAAGGGAATGCTGCCATTTAATAAATCATGTTTTGTTTGGCTTGGCTTGACAATAATAACTTGTGCTCATGTGGCAACTGTGGCCATGTTCTCAATGTGTGTGTGTGTGACCACAATAACAACAACAACAGCTATAGCTGCATAGGTAGGCACTGCCAGTGGTGTTGGCAGCTGCGTGAAACTGACCACAGTAGCATCCGCTGTTTTGGCCAAAAAAACATCAACTCGCCAAGAACTTTTGTCCCCAAAAGGGAAGCCTTGTTCAACTAGGCGAGGAGCAAGGGAGGCGAGGAGGCGGGGCGGACCAAGGTGGCACTGAGTTACATAAGTTGCGTTTATTATTTGAGTGTGTCTGTAAGTTTTGTGCTTGTTTTCTGGCGAAAACCAGAGAAAAACGAAACAACAAAGGGGCCTGGCGACTTGTGTAAAAGCTAGCAGATATTGCGTAAAGAAGTTGGAGAATCTTTGAAATATAGATTTATAATAAGTGAAATCTTCTATATATCGAATTTTTATCTTATAAAAAAATAAAATTTTTTATGTTAATTTTTTTATAATAATAAACGAAATTCCTTTGACTGTGCAATATACACATATAAATGCAATATAAATATGTATAAAGTTATCAATTATGACTACCAATTATGCAGGTAAATCATTCTATATGCCTTTATTTCTGACATTAAATATTTATAGCCAAGCCCACCCCATTTCACTGCCCACTTACAGGGTATACAAACAGGAGCAACTGCACAAAATAACGAGCTACAACTGAAGCTTTTGGCTGAGCACTTTGTGCATAACTTCCCATTTATGCTGCTGCCCCCGCCCTCGTAGTACCGCACCCAACCCCACTCATACCTTAGTCACCCAATTCAACAACTGACTGTACACCAAGTCCAATTGTTTGCTCGTTTTTGTAGTTGTGGCGTCACTTGGCGTCCAGAAACGCAGCGGTTGACTTCGTCTATGGGAATGGAAATGGGAATGGGATTCGGAATGGGTATGGGAATGGGCATGGGAATGGTCATGGAGTAAGGAATAGGTAGTGGAGAGAGCTCTTCCTGTCCGGCTGTCCGAACTGTGGCTGCCGCCTGACTGTTGCTGCTTCTGTTGCTCCAAGTGCTGCTCCTCGGGGGAAATTCCTGTCCATTGTACATGACTTTTGATATTTATGGGTAATTTCGTTTGCGTTCAGGTTTGGGGGGGGCAGCAGCAGCAGCAGCAGCATTTCAATGCTAGGTGAGCTCTGAATGAGCCTAAGAAGAACAAGTTCAGACCAATTTTGTACAGTGGCTGCCCAGCTAAAGGACAACATAAATCAACAGTTTTTGTTTTTTAATTTGCTTGCCAGCGTCTGATTTTGACAATAGACCAAATAATACATAATATATATATATATATATATATATATATATATATATTTATATATATACTATATATATACAGCGATAAACTGGCAGTTCGTTGCCAGTTTTACAATTAGGCAACCCGTGAAATTTATTATAGTGATTTTTATCAAACGCAATGCGCGGCACTTGGCGGCCCAATTAATCATAAAAGTTCTCGGCACCATCGACCCAACCAACCAACCACCCACCCACTCACTTAGCCACACAGTCATTCAGGCGTAGCCGTCGACAAAATGTCGCCCCGAGCTGCGCGCAGCCTGAGACCCAGAGTCGCCAGACCAGCTCTCGAGTCCCATTTACCTTCGTCAACTTGCTGACATATGGAATTTTTAATTCGGTTAAATTTCTCTCACCTGTCATCGTAGACAAATCCGGCGTTTAATGTGTTTAAGTATAGAACAAAAGCGAGTGCCGCACAGCCAACGACTCCAACGTAGTCCAGGGCCAGCATTCTGCAAGGAGAACAAAACAGAACAGAACAGACAGTCAGACAAATGAAGAAAATGTACACAAATATTAAAGTTGAGTGTCATAAAATATATGCTCAAATTAATTCTCAAAGGCTCCACAACAAAGCACAAAATCCGCTTCCCAAAGGTAGAGCTTTTTATGCTCAGCTGTATTTTTACTTTGGCCTCTTTTCATTATTATTTTTGTTTGTTTTCTAAACTGTTTTAATACTGCAGTTATTAAAGGTAAAAAAGTCAAGCTAAAACGATGCTGACACTTTTGCTTTGTCATAGCAAAAAACCAGCTCTGAAATTAAAATACTTTTTGTCGTCGAGGATATTATAACATTCTCTTCAAATATATATATCGGGTGACTCATCGTGTTGAATCTCATTTATAAATTATTTATAAGTGTTTATTATTTTATTTTTAGTTAAATGATATTATTTTTCATTGTTTTATTATTATACTTGATTAGCAGGCATAGAAGACAAGGCACTCTAAGATGTTATGTTAGAAATATAATTTATTTTGTACAAATTTCCGAGTTTTCAAGTTCTACTATAATTAAGATATAAGTATATATAAACATAGCATATTCAAATATTTTATTTTATTTTTTTTATATAAGTATATATGTAAGTATTTTGATTAAGTCCAATATTGACTTGGATTCCATACAAAAGCTTAGAAGTCAATCGTTATCCCATCACTCCTATTTCCCATTAAACTCTCTGCCTAACAAATATATTTTTCTCATCACTCGTTCGACGCGTCTCCATAATGGCAGCAAATCAGCAAACAAAACTCACTGAATGCAAACAAATCTGTAATGCACGTTGATAACGATTATGGCTTGAATGTAATGTAATTGATGCGAATATGCGGATGTGGCTGCGATGTGGACATACTCGGACAGAGCTTACAGGAGCTGCTGAACTGCTGAACTGTTGTCATCGTCATCGTCATCGTCATACTCATTGCACATAATGCGCTGTTCGTCGTACCTCATGGCATTCTTCGTTTTATATTAGCCGCAGGCATGTTGTGTGTTGTATGCATAACCCTCTCTCTCCCTCTTTATCTCTCTCTCTCTTTCGCGCTCTTTCTCTGTCCCGCTTTGTGACGGAAATTAAACGTACATTGGGCATCGTCTGGACCGGGCTTTGGATTTTGTATACAACTGTATGCAGCATGAGAAACGCCACTTGAAATGCAATCCGCTGCCCGGTTCCGCATCAGTTGCTGAACACCATTGTTGTTGTTGTAGTTGTCATCATCACCATCAAGCGCCATTACAAGTAATGAGTGCGGTAGGCACTGTGTGTGTGTGAGTGTTGTTGTAGTTAGCTGTTCAGGGGCCAGCGTTCGTCTCGGTCATTGCATGAAAATTGTTATCTCGCACAATGCAGACGATTTCCGGCAGGCATTTTCTCATGTACACGCTGCCCCCAACGACACGAACAACACGAATGTCCTCTCCAACATCAGATGCCCTGTGTGTGCCAGCAGAAATTAAGTCGCACCGTTTGCAAATGACAATGCGCGCTGCCCGAATGGGAATTTTACTTTCGTTCTGTTTGCCTTGGTCGCTGCTGGAGGTAAAACTTTTGCTCTTTGTTTATCTTAATTCTGCAGAATTTAAATATTTGTTGATTATTTTGATCAGCTCCAATTCGATATAAGCTCGATATTATCTTAAATAATAATCATATAATATGCTCTGTGATTTGTTTCCACTATTCAACAAACTTAATAACGGATTTCAGGGCAAAATAGCTCACATTCAATACTCATGCCATAGTCTGCACACTGTCTGTCCTTCGGTCTGTGCTGTTGCCACATTATGTCAGCACTTCAGGCGCCACACACACATACTGACACACATTCATACCATGCCAGCCAGCACTCAAGCTCAGCCTATTCAAATAGATTGTATATCGTTTCGCCTTCACTGCCCTATGCCTAATATCTCTAGCTGAAATGATGCTGCTAATGAGTTCTAATAATGATAATATTTCGCTACCATATACTAAATATAAATATAGGCTATGTGCATATATATATATATATATATATATATGTGTGTGTGTCTGGGGAGACATAAATAGAAGTTATTTTGGGTGCAGGCTGATTTGCAATATCTTTTAATAGTTTCTGCTGTGTGTGCTGGTTGAATGCTTAGAAACTGGTTATTATATGAAATGTAAGTGCTTCTAGGTGTTTTCTAAGTATATATTAAAGACAAATTTGTGTGGGATTAATATATAGTTATGGTCTATGCTTACGGCTAATATTTAAGAAATTTTCTTTTTGGAATTTCTTTAAACATTGAGACCTTCAGGAGACTTAAGATGATTTACGATTAAATGGCATAGCTTATCAAATGTATTAACAACTAAAAATCAGCGTTGTATGTATAAAAAATCAAATATATTTATATTCTTATTTAAGTTTTTTTATAAGGCACAAATTAAAAATTTTTTAATTTTCATAAAAATTTTTATTAAATAATTTAAGTTTCATTTCCCAAAGACCTTAAGCTGCTATTAAATAACTAATCCAATCAGATTCATAAACTCATGCAGCTCTAATTTTTTTCTCCGAATTTTAATCGCAAAAAGTGCTTAAAATTGTAGAGACCCTTTCTATAAATAATAAAATTCGACTCCATTTATGCAAATCTCATAAATTGTGTTTAGCCTTTCGACTGGCTGAAATATGCGCATTTCAAATAGATTCGACTCGTGGGAATTGCCGACTTTAAAGTCGCACTTAAAGCTCAAGTTTAGCTGTTCATATTGATTTTCCAATATTTAAGATGGTAGCTTAAATTACCTGATGCTGCTGGAAGCTTTATGGAATGTTAGCAATTAAATATATATATGTAATACATATCAAATGGCGGCTCAGAGGCGAATTGATTGAGACGTCTGGGCGTATGCTGCAGAGACCTTAAGACTTGTCAGCACGCTGTGAATTACTTTGTTAATTTTGTCAGAGCCAGACATAAAGGGACACTGACACAGCTAGACGCTGCCATGAGGAGAGCGTGCGAGGGGGTCGTTGATCATGTGTGTGTACTGTACTCTGCTGTCGATGCTCGTGGGGGTTTGCATACGGTTCAAAAGTCAAAGTGCAATTAGCGCAACGCTTCGTGTTTGGCTTCGTAAATTTATTTTTTTGTATCACTGCAAATATTTGCTTTCAATTTCGTATGCAAATGTCGCCTTGGCCTCGGCGCCATTAATCACCACCCACAACCCAACGGGCCGCCTTGTCTTATCCGCAGTGAAGCGAAGCCGGATGACAGAAAAAATAATTACGTTGTCATGTTTACGGCGCACAGAAATTAGCTGAAAGTATCTGGATGTACCCATCTTTGATGTTGATAGCGCAGCACTCGCGCAGCAACAATTTATGCTGTATAAAAAGAGAGAGAGATACAGATATATATATATATATATATGAGATGCTTGAAAGCTGGGGCTGAGAAGCTGTAGACTTCCTTTGGCATTTGGCGACTTGTGTGTGACTTTTGTTTTATGAAATCAGCTAAAGAGCATGTTGACCTTATTTCGTGGCGCCCAGCGGAAATTGTCGCATACAGCCGACTGGCAATGCGCTCGCACAGCAGCACACCTTAAACCGGAAACGGAAACATTATTCCCAAAATGTCAAAAAACATAACAAAAACCCATTAGACACAATTCTGTTTTCTGGGTCAGCACAAAAAGCAGCAGCAGCAGCAGCAGCAGCAGCAGCAGGCAGCAGGCTGCTTCAACTCCCAAAAGTGAAAACACACACAAAAACACACCGAAGCAAACAGAGGAGCGGAAAGCAGCACAAAGAACCAAGGCAAACGTGAAGCTAAAACAAAACGACGTGGGTGGCCCTTGTTGGGGACACCAAAACAGCGAATAGACTCCACTGAACTAAGCTGAACCTGAATCAGCTACACAGAACTGCACTGCTGACCAGTCACGGCTGCCATAATGCGAGCGGGCTGCTTGTGGGAGGGCGGAGACGAGTCGCAACGATTGCGGAAATCAAGTTGTGTCAACAGCTTAAAAGCCAAAATGTAATAAGCCAGGGAAATGTAATGTAATAAAATATCAAATATAAAACGGAGCTGGCTGGGAGGGCATTTGTTGCCATTAAAGTTTTTGTTGCTTTGAAATTGGAAACAGAGGGCAGTCAACGGCATAAACAACTAAGTGGAAAAGTGGCAAGGGTAGAGCATGAAATACCCTCTAGACACGTTTAAATATGAATTGTTAATGAACATTGATAACGAGCTTAAAGTAGAGAGGAATCTATTTTTATGGCAATTATCGATATTTTTTCTTATCGATCATTGATGCAACTATCTTCGTTTAGTATAAATTGATAATCTTAGACTCTGATATTCTGAAAAATATATAATTATATATGAATGATTCCAATAAATGTTTATTGATATATATAGAAATGATAATCAAAGGTTGAGCCTGAAAATATCGGTTTATGAAATGATCGTCATATGTTGCTTCTATCGTGGATTGTAGAAATTGATCAGTTTAGACCCTGAGCTATAGCTTACTGAATGATTGAAGTAATATAATAATCCTATATATTTATACATAATAGAAATTTTGAAGGTAATTATAAGCAATCGGTACTGATTGATCGATATATGTTACTGTTGTAGTTGATGTCGACAACAATTCTGAATTGTTTGACTGAAGCTAATGCTGCTTAGGTCATGGCTCAGCATACTATCGATAGTTGCAACAACAGTAGTTGGTTGTATATATCGATTGTGCTATAGATCGATAGTTTTTAGGCAACTTCAACAAATTCCCAACTGTAAATTCTTAAATATATTAAATATAATATAATCCTCAAGCAACATCTATATGCTTATATAATTACAGCCTATTTCTGCATGAGCATTGTACTCAAGGATTACAGCAACTATTTGAGCATCAACTATGGATACTTAGCTGCACTTAAATTATTA